AATGTATAGTAGATGGGCACGGCGAATACCCACCACCAATGAATCTCAATATTCCATCCTATTTGATAGATAGCTCATGAGATGTTGTCATAAAATGCCCGTGTTACATCCAACTATCCTTGCATCATGCGGTAGTGAACCCACATCCTGTTTTCCCGTTCTCCTCAGCAACAGCCCTGGCCGCGCAAGCACCTTTGGGACCGGCACAGCATCCTGAAGCGCAGTCGGCGTCTGACAAGCACTGTCCTGTGATGAACTGCAGTCCGTTGCCCGCGCCAACGTTCGACGACCCTGGAGAGCCCGACGATCCTGTGTCCGCGCTAGATCCGTTGCCGGCCGCGTTCTCCATCGACGGTGTTGCTTGACCAGCTCCCTGTGAAGTAGCGGGAGCTGCGACCGCACCGCCGTCACCGAAACCGCATCCTTGCTTGCCCGCTTGGAACTGGGCTCCGACTCCGGAGCAAATACCTGCACCGCTTAAAGTTGCGCAGCAGGCCGAGGCGCAGTCTTTGCCGTTTAGGCAGGCGCCGCCGATGAACTGGACACCTTGGCCGTTGCCAACGTTCTTGTCGCCCGAGGGGTCTGGTGTGAGAGGGCTTGGGGCTGCAAAAGCTGTGGCAGCGACTGAGAACTGTTAGTGATTTTGGCGGATGTCTGAGCTTGGTGGCCGAGACTTACATAATGCTGCGGCAAAGCAGAGGCGAACCATGTTTACGAGAGTTGAAGGATGACGATAAGAGTGTTATCAAAACACCCGGAAAAGTATTACAAGAAGATACAAGGTGACTGATGATAGTGCTTCTGGGTTAGCTTCATGTTGAAGCCCGCGGCGACCTGCCGTCTTAAATACCATGGTATTTCATCGTTAGGAGACATAGCATATGATCCGAACACTGCCAACTCTCAGCGCTTGTTGATGCTCCCGTCTGTCAAGCAAGTCAGCTGAAGATGCGACGCATTTCTGTCACAGGGGCACGTTTCTGCAATTGAGGCTGAGCAGCAATAGGAACGCAGCCCGAAGACAGATGTCCGTGTAAAAGTCGACCGAAAGAGGAGGACTGCCACTCGGCGATCCTGTCCGTCGAAACTCGGAGGAGACCAGATGAGGGCGAACATGGCGTGGAGCCAACCAGTGAGGTTGCTGAGGCTGATGTTCGAGGCTGGTAGCTGGGTCTCGAACGAGGCCGTCCCTGTCGTGCTAATGTTTCGGATGGACGAAACATCGGAGAACGGCAAGCGGGCCCAAACACCCTCGAGCCCCTGGACCAGGGGTTCTGCTGTAAATCCCCGATACCTCGTTGCAGTATAGAAGGTCTGGTGTGTGAGGTGAGTTCTACAATGAGCACATTGAGTGCATCCCTCGCTGCGATCTTCCGACGATCCAGGTTTCCCCATCTTCACAGATGCTCAGAGATGGAAGCCAACACTGGCTGCTCATTCGCCTGTTGCCCTTTTTGGACGAGGCCAGCATTGCGAAACAGCGCAAACTGTCAACTCGGCAGGGTCTCTCCGATGTTGGCCTGTTTTGGCTGGAGCGCTGCCTATTCGCGAGATCCAAACTGGCTCCAGTCTTAACCAAGAGCCAGCCCATCTTTTCAGGGGCAGATGTGAGAGAACGGGTCGTCTGAGGATATGGTGCGGATGGGTGTTTGGCCCGCCTCGCAGCATGAACTTGGAAGATGTGCTCTCTCAAAGCAGAAATTGAATCCCGGACCAAGCATCGATTGCTCGTAACGAAGGTCGAAGGTCGTCTCGACAGGGACCCTTGAAAGGGGTGATCTCACGTATCGTTACCTTCAGCCGTGACGTAAAGAAACCCGGCCAGGGCGACCATCAAGCCGAACCTCTGCAGTCTGCTTGAATTCAAAATGTAATAGAAATGATGTTTTCCCGTGGCATTGATTTGGAAATGCGCCAAGATATGGTATAGACAGACGGTCGTTCCATGTCAATGTTCAGCAGAGTTTGGTCAGATGCGAGGAATGACCAAACGGCGCCCTGTGAGGAGGAATTGACTTTCTGGCAGCACAGGGGCTCCTTCTCAGTGCGCTTCTGGCAGCTTCAGTGCATCAAAGCCCCTGCTGCCTGAATTCAGTCCTTGGCTATATCATACATTGACTTATCTAATCTTTCTTATCTTATCTGGTCTCCATCAATCGGGGGGACGGCATATGCCAGGAAACAGCATCCCCGCAAGCCACATTCCGCCCTTCTACACTACTCCCCTTGCGTTTGATGAGGGACGGGCCACGCACGTCTGCATTCCAAGCAAGTCTCAGTGACCAGTCGTTGGGTCAAAGTATACATCCTTCCCAGCGGCCCCGCCTCGATCACGCCATTTGACCGCTCCGATGCCGAAAGCCGCGGTGCAGATACCAATGATCCGGCAACTGCGCGTAGCTAGGTTGGAGAACATTCGGCCGATAATATTCGTGATGCCCGATTCGACATGGAGGCAATATTCCCTGAGGAGCTCAACCCATACCCGGCGACCCTCACTTCCATCAACCCGTCACGCTCAAGGGGGTAAGCCCGGCGGTATGAGAGAAGAGGACAGCAAGGTTCAAGATATCTCCACGACTAACACTAGTGTGAACTCAGTCTTCAAGTATTCTTCATTGGCTATTCACCATTGGTTTGTTGTGGGCAAACGCTTGCACAATCATTGCTATTCCCCGTTCATTTGAACTTGCCTGGGTCTACTGCACCCTAGAGACACTCCCTATCACGGCACGATCTTCCTGGCCCCTCAACGCCCGCAATTCCTAGTAGAGCTTACCTGAGACCTTGATGTGGCAGATGGTCACCATGCTTCGCATACAATATCGCAGTTCCTATTGGGCCATACCACGCACCGCCGCTTCTGCCAGCACCCAGTAGTCGGCGTTGTCCCTCCCTTAGCTGCACGTTCATCCAGGGCTCCCCAGTCGGGATGTGAAGCTGACCTGGCTCCTGGAATCCGGCCAACGGTCCAATCTGCAGGTCGACGGCACCTGCAGAATGCCGTGACCCCATCAAACCGTTGGCTCTGCCATTCGATGATGTCTCTCCATCAGTGTCCGAAGTACTGGTCAAAGGTCCGACTGACGCGATCCAAGCTAAGACATGTCGAAGGCGCAGGGAGCTCCCCCAGGGTACCTGAACAGTGACATCAGGATGTCCCTACATTCAAAAGGACCCCGCTTGCTAGTTGGTAGCTCTATCTGCGCCCCTAACACCACGTCTTGGTGATCGCGTCGCTTTGATCCCCGCCTTTCGTTTAATTCACGCAGACGAGATTTCGTGTTCGCAATGTCCACCCCAACGCAGGATGTCGTGGTGGAACCCGATGAATTCAATGACAATGACTCATCGCTGGGGGATGTAGGTCACCTCCATCGTCAACTTTCTCCAACCGGAGGCGCAAGGTACTGACAGCTGGGACAGGATGGCGCGGCCTCGACCTCGAGCTTGAACAGCTCAATCCTCGACTATCGCAAAGAGAATGGTCGCACGTATCATAAATACCGCGATGGGAGTGCGTAGCATGGCATCGGCAACCTATATGATGGTCTACTGACGCCAAAAAGAGTACCACTTTCCCAACGATGAGGAGGAGAACGAGAGACTAGGTGCGTCCCTCGCAAAGTCCCAAACGATTGGATACGGAAGGGCCTGGCTAACACTCCCACAAGATCTTCAGCACCACATCTTTGATCTTTCATTCGACGGCAAACTGGGATTGTCTCCTCCCAATGCTCCCGAGGCAAAGGTTGGCCGTGTACTGGACCTCGGTACGGGTACGGGAATCTGGGCCATGGACTACGGCGATGACCATCCTGGAGCTGAGGTCGGTATTGCCACGGCCACCCTGTCGAAGTTGATCTAACACTACATCCACAGGTCATTGGTGTTGACCTGTCGCCCATCCAGCCGCAGTTGTTAGTGATCCCCCAGGCAAACTGGAACAATTAGCAATGTCCACTAATACAGGACTACGTGTAGTGTCCCGCCCAACGTCCGATTTGAGGTCGACGACATCGAGGACAGCTGGACTTATACGCGACCGTTTGATTACATACACAGCCGAATGATGAACACCAGCATCTGCAAGTGGGAGGAGTACCTGCGCCAATCATACGAGTAATCCCTAACCGCATGCCTCCTCTTAGAATTGCACCTCACACCTCTCATAGACATCTCAACCCCGGCGGCTGGCTCGAGCTCCAAGAATTCAACCTACCTCTCTCCGACGACGGCACCCTGACCGAAGATCACGCCCTCTACCAGTCCATGAAATACCTCGGCGAGGCCGCGGCCAAGACCAACCGCGCCTTCGTCGACCTCGACGCCCTCAAGCCCATGATGGAGGCCGCAGGCTTCGTCGACGTGGCCGAGATACGCTTCAAGTGGCCCAGCAACACGTGGCCCCGCAACAATAAGTTCAAGGAGCTTGGCGCGTGGAACCACGAGAACATCACGTCGGGCTTACAGGGCTTCCTCATGGCTGCGTTGACGCGCGGTCTGGGGTGGAAAGCGGACGAGGTGAACGTGCTCGCGGCGCAGGCGAGGAAGGATGTTGGGGATAGGAGCATTCATGCCTACTGGCCCATGTGAGTCTTGCTGCTGTTTTTTTCTTCTTCTTTTGTGGTGCGATTGTGACTTGGGCAGTCCTGGAACCGTCATGTCTTGGTGGCTGACTCGCGCAGGATCGTGGTTTATGGGAGAAAACCCGCCTCTGCGTAGGTGCATGAACGGGCCGTGGATACCCCCGGGGACGGAGCCGAGAAGGACGGGGCTGGGTGGATTACTCGAACGGGGCATAGTCCTTCACCCCACCCATTCGGGCGTCTTTGCCCGGCTGACCCACAGTTTCGGAGACAAGACATGAAGAAATTTTTTGACAGGAAGCCATCGAGATTTTCGGACACACCGAAACTAACCAACTCTACGCGCGCTCCACACCTTGCCGTCCATAGTACCACAAACCGGCGTGTTCTTCAACAATCAATCAACAACCCGCCTTGCTAGCTCAATCGGTAGAGCGTGAGACTCTTAATCTCAAGGTTGCGGGTTCGACCCCCGCGTGAGGCTCAAATCCTCACCGCGATTGGCACAGCCACTCTTCGGGTTATCTTTTTGGTTTTCTTGATTAACGACACCAGTGATTCTCTTTTACATGCTGCTTGTAACCGCAGGCGTCGTCGGTGTCATCATTGCAGATATCATTCACGGAACTTGACGTACTGTTGAGAAGCCAAACTAAGCTTCATTCCCTCATAACCTCCAACCTCTTGAAGTTGAGCCACCATTGCCACTCCCTCCATCTCAACCACCACCGTGAACTCAGCCCATCTGTTATCTCTGGACGCCTGGGACCAGGTGGGGTGCGCTGTAATTGTGCCCTCCAGTCCTCCAATCGTAAGCCGGCAGTGTCCGGGTGACCGCGCGAAGCCAAAGTCGGTGACATGAAGCTATACATGATGCATCAGCCAGTGTGTACGAGGCCCCTCTCGAGGACATGTTGATCTGGGTCAACAACTTCAAGTACAGCGTGTAGTTGCAATTAATCTGCGAGACAGTAGCCCATTTTCAGGATTCCAGAGTACTTGTCTATTGCGCCCGATTTCTACTTCGACGGGGGGATTCTATGAAGTTACAATGCGGGCTCCCTGGTAGGGCCTCGTAAGGAATCCCGTCGAAGTGGCACTTGGGCTACACGGAGCAAAGTAAAGAGGACTGATACGGCTATCTCGGATCTTAGTGTTGGGTTCGGCAGACTGCCGGGAACTTTAATGGTTGGTTGATTAGTGTCGCACTTGCGACGGGTCTAGCCCTTCTGTTCTCTGTCCAAATCAAGTTCGTATTTGCCCAAAATTCGTAACACGAGTTGGCCGCCGAGCTTGGTTCTTGATATGGACGAGGAGGCGAGGATTGAGACAAGGAATTACTGATGGAGCATCGTAGGAGCCTGCTTGGCTGCGGCACAAGGCAGTGAGATCTAAATCATGGGCCATCCGGGCACCAGCTGCTTGCTATTACCATATTCGCAAGGCGACACCGCCATCATAGAAGAAAAGGGAGGAGGGCCAGATCACCAGCATTTTGCTGCTTGAGACCCCTGTTCCTCTTCCGCCTAGCCTCCTTATGACGAGGTGAGTCAATCATGGAGAAGCTCTAACCCAGTATGAGGGGGCACGACGAGTGAAATAAATCAAAAGTGGTATCATTTTGGTGCGTTATCCCAAGAGGTTGATGAAAGGTTCCGGCCATTTGCCCATCAGCAGCGGTCGGTCCCCAAGCCGGCCGCTTACCGGCGCCAGGATTCTCAACTTGCGCTTCTCCTTATCAATATCGGCTATGTACACGTAACCCATCACGTTGGCTGTCCTGATCGTCTCCGGCGAGTCCTTGACTGAGGCGTACACGATGGCGAGGGTCCAATGTGCCATGAGCTGGCCGGGGTCCACCCGCATAAGGCCGTCGTCAGCGTTGCCGTACATGGAGTCTGGAGTTGGTCAGCACGGGTGCCCGTGGGTAAGCACAAACCCGGGGGGGATTACTCACAATCACCTATTCTGAATATTGCCAGGCTGTCAAAGTCCACTTGCTGTGTAGCGGGACTGAGGGTCTGACCGATGCTGCCGAAGAAGTACTCTTTGATAGACGCCTCGCAAGCTTGCTGCATGAAGCCGACGTCCCGCTCAACCACGCCTTCGGATTTGTCGAGAAGGAGAATGCTGTACTGCTCCCCGAGGCTAGTTCTCTCGGTCGAGAACCGCTTCGCCAGTTCTGCGTTGAGATGCGATGAACCCAACACAATGATGATGTTTACTGATGACGGTCAGCACGAGGCAATTCGAGGGGTTGGACGGAAGCTGGTATCAGATGAAGAACCAACAAAAGATGGGAAACAGTACCTGAAAGCTCGTCCACTACGTGGGCAAGAACATCTATGCCGACATTTCCCTTCTCGGCCACAGCTGGGGTATCGATAATCATGCCGGAGCTCCTCACCTCCGGATCCTGCCCCAGCCTCGACGTCACCGTCGCCGCCATCTTGCTCACGAGCTCCTGGTACTTTTTCTGGTCCTCTTCCGCGCTGGCGTGACCGTAGTAATACACCAGCGGCAGCTTGACAGGCACCTGACTCGGCCCGCTCGTCGGCGTCGTGCCCCAGCCGTCGACGGCCTCGACATCCAGCACGGTGCCGACGACGCTCGCGCTGAGGGTTCCCGGCAAGCTCAGCATCCCCTCCTTGGGGTCCGTATTGACCACCAACGGCTGCGCGCCGACCCTCGTGGCGTAGCTGGTCAGCGTGCGCACCAGGCTCGTCTTGCCCGTCGTCGGCGGCCCGCAGATGGCGATGCGCGGCCCCTCCCTCCGCTCCGTAGCGGCGCGCTGGCGCATGGCGGTGAGCTGGAAATGAAGGTTCAGGATCGAGTTGGCGGGCGAGTCCTGCGGCTTAGCGTACTCGGCAAGGAACTCGTCCGAGAGGCTGCCCTCTACCTCGAGCTCGCAGCCCTGGAGGGTGAGGATCTTGGACTTGGTGCCGGCGAAGGTGTAGGCGTGCTGCAGGGCGAGCTCGGTGCCGTCCTTCTCCGCGGTGCCGGAGAGGAGCTTCAGTGTGATGTGGGTATCGAAGGCGACCTCAAATCGCCATTCCCAGAAGGGCTGGAGGCGGATCGTGCGGGTTTGGTTGGCGGACGTCGGTTGCTGTGAAGGCGGTGGTCAGTCTGCGGTCTCGAGCAAGGTGTGGGACGGGCGGCCATTGAACGTACTGGCGCCACAAGGTGGCCCAAACCAGGGATAGACATGTTGGCTATCTGTTGATCATGGGGTACCGAAGCAATTGCGTTGCGACCGCTTCCACCAGGGTCCTGCGGGGAGATGGGAAAGTCAGAACGTCGACACTGGATTCCGCGCGTGGGAATGCTCTGAGACGCGCCCGCCCAACTAAATGTTAAAGATGGAGCTTGACATCACAAGGTTGAAATGGTCCGTGCAGGAGCTTGCACTGTCTGGCGGGGTCTAATTTGGCGGGGCTTGATCCAAACCGTGTCACTGTTGCAGGTGTGCTGGGGTTCTGCATATCTCTCGATGTTCTGCTCAACATCAAGTTCTCTGTTCTTCAATCCGAATTCTAGAAATCATCAGATGCGCCGCGAAATTGAAGAAACCATTGGATAATGTGGAGGCTTTGACAACCTCAATTCAGGTGGTCTTCTATGTTGTACAATTTTCAGTCCTTATGTCAAGTGCCTGCTGGCGTCTTTGTTGTCCTCGGTGTCCACCCGAGAGTACTGACGAGTTGAGAGTTGAGTGCAGGGAAAGTGACAATGAGGGTAACATAAAACCAGGACCTACCAGAAGGGGCAGAGCTGATATACAGCTTCAAATGTCAACATGTTGAAGGGTTTCGTGGCAGGCAGTAATACCAGGTACAAGGACCTCAGCCGCATGACCTTCCGACGCGAACCTGGAAGTCTGGAACCATCCAGCTCCATGATCCAAGGATTTACCCTGCCGGCCCCCCAGGAACGCCGAACCACTTCCAATCCTGGCGCTCCCCGCGTCGGCTGCATGTTCTTCCGTACCACCCAATCACCGCCCTCCTCTCTCGCCCGACTGTACCATTACGCAAGCCCCTACGCCTCCCAGCCGGCCCAGCTCCGCCACACCCACTGGCTCGTCGCTGCCTGCACCTGCTGACCTCGAGTCTTGGGAGGCCCTTCGACACCAACGTCACCTTATTTGCCCGTTCCACTATCCGCCTCCCAAAAGCCCATCTTCAAAAGGCGACACCCTGAACACCAAAACATCCCCGACGCATTTCAGCATCTTCTTAAACGAATTACACAGTCATCGCAATGTGTTCCGCAGATATTTTCCTCGGCCTCCTGGCCCTTCTCTTCCCGCCTCTGCCTGGTACGTTTCCCTACCTCACCCCGCATCGCATTCCACCCCGGCGCGCGCCGTGACATGCGATGCCATCCCACTTTCAAAATCAAAACATGCTAACATGCGAAAACAGTCTGGGTGAAGCGTGGCCTTTGCTCCGCCGACTCTCTCATCAACATCCTCCTTTGCCTCCTAGGCTACGTACGTTCCCAACCCTCCCGCCTTTGGTCTGTCGCTGCCGCTCAAAGCACTCAATACTAACACAAACCCTCCGCAGATCCCCGGTCTCATCCACGCCTGGTACATCATCGCCAAATTCCCCGAGCCAGACTACGAGTACGAGTCCGTCCCCCAGCAGGACCGCGAAGGCGGCCGTGTCACCTACGTCTTCGTCCACGGCAACGGCAACGGCCCGCACACCCAACAGCCCCAGCAGCAGCCCCGTCCCTCGCAGCACAACAAGGGCAACCTCAGCTACGGCACCGCAACCAACAACAACAGCAGCACCGCCGCTGCCGGTGGCTCGAGCAGACCCCAGCCTCAGCAGCCTCAGCAGTACCAGGACCAGGGCGCTGGTGAGGGAAGCAGCGACGGCGCCGTACCGCCTAGCTATGCCGAGGTAGTCGCTGGCGACAACAAGATCCAGACGCGGGATTAGAGCAGTCGACATATTGGTGACGACGAGGTTCTCCTGGCCTCGAACCCATCCTAGAGGCTCTACTTCTCCGGCTGATCTATTACGTATGGCTGCTGTTGTATTGGTTCGTGTAAATTGATTTGGGGTTATGCACGGAGTTTGAATTTTATCGAACAAGACGGCTTCGGCTTCTGGAGTTTGGAGGAAACTGACGAGTTAATACGTTGTGCACGAGTTTACGCGAGACATTGGTGCGAATTATCCACTGCATCAGTCATATAGTTAGATGTCTAGAATTCTTCTCATTAATGGGGGGTATCTTGATCTAATCTTTCCGAAACGCCGGCCCCTCACCCAACGTGCCTCGGAAATGCTAACCTCTTTTATCTTCTAAGAACGCCCAAATCGCCCATGCTACACCCTGAAATCCACGACGGCTCTTTGCAATCAAGACGGTGTTGGCTTCTGCTCGGTTGCTTCAACAGGAGCGTCTTCGGCCTCCGGCATTATGGCTGACAGGGGAGGGCGGTCGTTTGGCACGGGCTCCTTGAAGTGCTG